TGAAAGAATAGTAAAATAAGGCAATTCCATTATGAAAAATTATGAAAAAATAATTCACAAGGAGATGTAAGAAACTAGGAAACAACAATAGCAGCACTAATGATATAGTTTTGTTTGGGTGTCAGCCTTTGGCTTACAAGGCAAGTTTAATAATTACTATGTTATTAGTGCAGGTTACATGATTAAAGGTGAGTCAAAAAGCCCTTAGAAATAAGGATTTCCTTTTCTTTAAAAAGGTTTTGGTGTACCTGCACGGACATGCATTTTGATAATTTAACTTTATGTATACAATAATTCAAGCGTGTACACACACACACCTCTCTCCCCCTCCCTCCCTCCCTCCCTCTCTCTCTCTCTCTCTCTCTCTCTCTCTCTCTCTCTCTTTCTTTCTTTCTTGGGAGAGAGAGAAAGGGAGAAGAATGTATGTCCAGGAAGATCCAATCATGAGAAGGAAAGCAATTTCTGAAACAGAAAGGTAGGAGAATTGGGAATTGTCCAGTGAGTGAGCACAATAGCTTCTAGTCCAAATTGAATACCTTGAAACAGCTACCAAAATATCTTGTTCTGGACAGGGGTTGTTTTTTTTTTTAAAGTCAGTTTAGAGTCAAGTCAAAAAGAGCACAGAACAGGAGCAATTTAAGTGATATGTGCAAATACGATCTCTAAAATAGATAACAAAGGATAGAATCAGAGGGTTTCTCTTTTGTGAATAAAATTACAACAAATCAGGCTTCTTATATCATGTACAAGATATGACAGAATTACAATTACTCAAGTTTTCTCTTCTATACAACTGTTAAAGATCACAGTCCAGTTATCCTATGGCTGTGTTTGCATACTACACTGAAATGCTAACCCTATTAGAACTATTAGAAATCTATTTGAAATTAACAGAACAGACCAATTCAAACAAATTTTGGAAGAATTGCAACTTGAATTAATGCAGTTTTCAACTGTCAACTCTCCTCTAAACAGCATTCAGTGCCTATAGTATCTGTTTCTCAGGCTGACGCCCCATATCTCCCTGCATTTGTAGACAAGAGTATAGCTTTTCAAAGTATCTACTAGGGAAAAATAGGAAAGGCAAGCTGACAATACTTTCCTGTTGATGGTATCAGTTGTGCAGCTTTATATTTGTTCAAAGTGCTACCCATTTTCAGCAAGAAGCTACCCTCACTGATAATACTTGACTGAACAGTCACTTAACAATAATGTTTATGTGACCAACAATTGTTCAGTCCATAACCTTTAAATGTACACAAAAAGAGCAATGCCATAACACAGAGCTGATTTGAGAAAACTAGCATTGTCTATTTTTCTTATCTTGGTTTGACCCAAGAAAGTTTTCTTTTGAGGTACCATTACAATATATTTTGAGATTAGGCAAATCAAATAAGAATTGCTGGGACTTCTCCCCTCCTGCCCACACACGCACCTTTAGGAAAGATCTTTCACTGAAAACATTTAGACTTGCAGTTTTCCCAAAGGTCATTATGCAGTATGGTAACTCATGGCTTTGCTGTCAGATTTCATAAAGCCATTTCTTCAGACAAGAAGAGGAAAGAGTGGGGGAGTGAGGAAAGGGGGGGGAAATGGGAGCCATTAGTGGACCCCCTCCTCCCCAACTCTGTTAGTGAGCTTTATTAAACCACACAGACAAAGAACAGAGATGGCCTCATTAATGGAGAGCCTCCGATAATTACTCAGCTCTGTCGTTTCTTTGGAGGGCCTGAATGGCCTTTGAATAATGTTTCTCTTGCTGTGGTCACAAACAATGTCGTAGCAGACTGTTCTAAGCAGTGCCAATCCCATTAGCAGAAGAACAGCAGTCCTCTTTCTGTAGAGGTAGATCTTTGTGGTAGCTCTGCAGTGGGAATGAACTATGCCCACTGCCTGAGCGCTTCTCTGAAGCAAAGAAGCGATGCCAGGAAAGCCTTGTTGAAAAAAAACCCAAACAATCTTCGTTTTGAAAAGGACCTGAGCTAAGTGGCTTGGGAAAGATGTAGCCTGCTGGCGTAAGGGCCCACAGATGGGAACAACTCATCCAAAAGATAAATAAAACATAGTTTATACTGAGTGTCAAAGAAAAGCTAAGGGGTTGAGGGTTGAATTCCAGAGGATGGTTTGCTTCTACTTTGAAAGGTTAGTTCTATATTGCTTGTTTTCCCAACTCCATGGAAGTAATTCAGAATAATTTCTAGGGAGACTACAAACAAAAGGTAAAACTAATGTCCAAAGAAATTTGATGTACAGAAAAAATAACCAAATATTCCAGGCTATTTATCTATCTTTCTTTCAAAAACCTATGTGCATTTTATCATCTGCATACTTTCTGCAGAATAAAATCACTCCACTGAAATCAGTCTCTAATAAAGCAGAAATCTGTCCTAAATTACATAACCAGTGCTTCCCTCCCCCATGACCACAATGTCTAGCTGCAAAGGATTTTGCATAGGAGAAGAGAGGAAAAGGAGCTGTCATAAAAGTCTTTGGTTCTGCTTATTTAAAGTGCTTCTAGGAAGCTTATGTAGTTCTCCAATGAACTGGATTTCCTTCTCTAAGAGCAAAGGCTGTTAAATGGAATTGCTAGGAGCTTTTTTTTTTTTTTTTGGTTCTTTGAGGTGATAACTACTAATAGAGCTAGAATCTGGTTCATATAGTTATAGAGCTACCATCCCAATTGTAAACCAGTAAGATTGGACTTATATTGTTTACTTATTAAAAAACATAACATTGTCTTGGGTGCTCCAGTGTATTCTAAATTTGATTGCAAATGTTGGTTGGCCGCAGAGTAAAAAGTGCTGAACTCCAGACTGAACATTCCAAACATTATGTTTGTAAAAAAAAAAAAAAACAGCAAGGAAGCGAGGGCAATATTTCTGCAATTTTTATTGGGAGAAAAAGAAATTCTCCATTGGACTGTCTGTAAACCACTGAGAATATGTGGATGGGGTTGCATACTGCAGACAAACTAGGATATCTCTCCTGTTGAAAGAGCAGGTGGCAGCCATGGCTAGGAGGGCCTTTGTTCAACTTTCTGTTGTGCACAGTTATACCCTTTCTTATATAGGGAGACTCTCCACTCGGTCACTTGTGCCCCGGTCATCTCCCATTTGGACTACTGCAATGCACTCTACATTAGGCTATTCTTGAAAAGGATCCAGAGTTTCAGTTGGTGCAGAGTGTAGCTATGTGAACTACACGGAGTGCCCAAAGAAGGGTACATGTAACACTTTAGCTCCGCAAACTGCACTAAGTGCCAGTTTGCTTCCAGGTCTAATTGAAAGTGTTGATTATGACCTATAAAGCCCTACATGGCATGGGGTCAGGCTACTCACAGAATTGGCTTTGTCTACACATCAGCCTGTGTCACCCAAACAGGACGTTGTAGGGAAGGTATGTTGCAGATCCTATCAGTCAAATAATTCTGACTTGTGGAGTCTAGGAAGAGAGCCTTCTCTGTCATTGTTCCTGCCCTATGGAACATCTTTCCCTTGGAGGTGAGGCAGGCCCCAACTCTCCTGGCCTTCCAAGAAGGGCTCTGCGGCCTTGCATGGAAGCCCAAAGGAGCATGCAATCATGGGGTTGCCTGGTGCCATGAGAACCTTCCCTATGTGTTTGACAACTAATTTTAACAGAGTTAAAATTACCTCCTTGAATATTTTTTGCCTCCTTGAAAATTGTTATAATTTTTAAAATTTTAATTCTAACATTTTAACTTTACATTTTAATTTTTATATAGTTTCATTGTTGATGCTATATTGTATTATTAAGCTTTTATTATTAAGCTCTAATAATCTATTATATATTATAGTACATTATGGCTTTGTATATTGTGTGAATCCAGCAACTATGGTTTATAAAATTGTAGTTAGACAAAATATGGGTTCATGCAAAATGTGAATCCAGTTTTAGACAATCTAGTTCAAATATTTTTGCATCTGAGATAGGGGAGGATATAGCCTATGTTTTACATCATCCAGACATCAGAACTTCTGACAGAGAAAAATCAGCTTCAGCTTTGGAATCTGATAATGCATATGAAGAAAACTAAGGAAACTAAAGCTCCCCTAACATGGTCCCAAGGGTAGAAGACTGTGGCTTAATTGGTCAGAGACAGAGAAATCATTAACATTTTAAAACTGTTTCATACAAGTATTTATAAAAACTGCAGTTGGCAATCAGCATCTGAACAGGACAACACTTTCTCTCACTAACCCCTCTGTACTGCAATTAACATAACAGCTGCATGAAAGGCACAAAATCATCAGTTGAACCCTATTATGGAAGAAAGTGATGAAAGCTTTATTTGTTGAAGTTATTCTTATATGTGTTTTGAACTGTCAAAGTGTGGAACTGTGGCACTAGGGAAGGAAAACAGAAAGAAAAAGAACTAGAATTCCCACCTTAGGGTATGCAGGTTTAAGTCTTACATAAGCATCCGTGCTCTGAATGAAAATGGCACTTCTGATATTAGGATTTTTTCTCTCCCAACTGCAAGGGAAATTTCGTCTTACTGGCATGGCTCCAAAACAACTCTCTTGTCAACAAAGCATGCACCTGTATAGAACTTCAAATTCTATGTTTTTCCGAGGATTGTATGGCATTTATTACACCTGGACAATAATTGTGCCCTTTAGCTTAGGCCACGCCTTTCGGTCAGGGAGAGGAGAATTACCATTCGCTATCAGCATCCCTGATTCTGCTCTCCCTAATGTTCAGAAATATTAGCGCTACTCTGTATTTCTCCTCTTCTATTATACTAATGCAGGGGTAGGCTCTTTTGTGACTCGTGGACTTCAACTCCCAGAATTCCTGAGCCAGCACGGCTCAGCTTGGAAACCTCTCCCTTTCCTCTCAGCATGGCTGGTTCAGGAATTCTGGGAGTTGAAGTCCATGAATCATAAAAGAGCCAAGATTGCCTACCCCTGCAGTAGTGGTTATATCTACATGCTACTGTCGCTATAGGATCTCCATTGCCGCACAACTCCGGACCCTACCGTCAAACAGCGGGGACCAGTTTTCGCTCTCTTTGCTCTCCCTTCAGGGTCCTGCAGATTTTTGCAGCCCTCCTTTTGATTGCAGGAGGAGTCAACATACAGGGTATACCATTCGCACAGGTCTGAAAATACGAGAGATATACGCGGGGTTCGCGGTGAAAACTTCGTCAAGCTCATACCCATCAATCACAGAGTGCTGCGTGGTAGGTTGTTCCCCCCGCGCTGCTTCCGCAGGGAAAGTGGGCGGGCGCCTCCGGAACCTTCTTTCCTGGCTTCCGTTTCCCTCGCTACCGCGGGGAACCCTTAAGGGGAGCACAGGGAGCGTGCGTAAACAAGCAAGCAAAAGAACGCTGAATAATGTGCCGGCGCCTCTTCCCTGTCATTGAGCCAAGGCGAGAAATAAGACCTGGGGAGGAAATACGCCAGAGTTTCCAGCGCGAAGCTTTTAGGAGCCAGGTAAAGGTTCCTCTGTTCATAAGTTCCTGCCTTGCGCCTAAGTGTATATGCTCTGGAAATAGATGTATGTCTGAGAATATGAGCATAAAAACCTTTGGGGTGTCCGAAGGATCCAAAGTTGTGTCTCATTATTGGTATTATATGGGTGTAATTTTCCCCAGTAAATGTCCTTGTTCTGGATTTTATTTTATTTTTTTAAAAAAACTCTAGACATGGCCGAATATGTCCTCTTTGTTTTTGAATCACATAGGGCTCTATAATAACAAGCATTTCGTGGACTTCTGTATGTGTGTGTTTTCCTGCTACTATAAATAGGACAAGAATTGTAGTTTCACTTAGGACAGTTTAACAAAAGAATCAGGGCAATAACGTGAGAAGCACAAAGCTAATATTTGCTTTAATGTTGAAATACATGCAGTGAATAATTTGCATAAACTCCATGTTAAGTTCCTCATACTAGCTGGTTTTGTTGCTTTTATGTTTTCTTTCACAATTTGCAGCCAATACTTCCTCCAAATACCCAAGGTATGGACAAGGTTTTAATACTTGTCCCCATCCCTTGTAAAGTAAACTAACCCTGGAAGTATTGATTATGTCAGAAGCATCCAATAGGGTCTTGGTTAGAATGCCAAAATTTGAACCCAGATCTTTATAGTTTACAGACCAGTTCCATATTTAGCAATACTGTTTAAAATAATCATGGGTATTAAACTTTTTCTTTGGGGTGGGGCAGAGAAATTTAAATGATGAATCAGATAGCAGAATTGTACAATATTTTATAGACTTGTAACTATTACAATATTTCCTTGTAAATATATATTTATGAGAGACCTGGTCTCAAACTTCTTGTCCTGTTCAATAGGAGGAAGTGAAGGGAGGGCAATATTCCAGGTAAATAAAAGTGAGAACACCATGTGTTTCCTGGTCTGCATGTAGCCCACTCTGTCAAAAAAGAATTATTACAGTTTTGCCTGTCTAGCTTTAAAGTTGATTTGGAAATTATCTTTCTATAAGACTGTGTGCATGATTGTAAAATCTGAAATAATTATTAGTTGAATCTATATTACTTTGAATTATCTGCAGTTAGGATTATACAGCATGAAGCACAATGGCAGAATTCACACATGATGTTCAGCCATTTCTTAAGTTTGGGATAGTAAATTTTATGAACGCCAACATTGTACTTTGTGTGGCTTGTAACTTGGTATGATTTGTAAACAGTTATTGTAATTTATTCAATAAAACTAGATTAAATAATCTCTAATTTTACATGTGAAATCAGCTAGTGAGAATTAATTCTGTTTAAAATATATAGAGGCATGTCTTCATCAGCCCAAAGGAAGTATTTCAACAACTTTTGTAATTGTTCCGTTAGTTCTGTATCTTTCACTTTACAGCTATTGTCCTTTCTTCGTGTTTCAGCTACTGGAATCAACTGAGACATAGCTCACAGCTGTCTCATCCTTCCTCTGGCTTAATGACTTCATCTCTGGGAGCATCTGTTACCATTATTATTATATGACTTGCTTTTATTTCTGCTGGAAATAAAGCAATGCTTCAGATTTTCTTTCATGAAATGTGCATAGATACAAGAGCATTTTACTGTTTTTTGGATTGGTGTTGATATATTTCTAGTTTTTAATTCTATTTCTGCAAGTTATCCTGAACATTTAGGAAAATGGGCAGAGTACTGTACACATATTCAAGATATTAAATAATGTTTTATTTGTGTATGTACTCTTAGTTTATGATATGAACACTGTAGAAACCATGAACTGTTTGGAAATGTGGGCAATAACAGGACTAAGCCTGTACAGTGAATGTTTCGTGATCTCAAATCTTTTCTACCAGAAGCCCTTTGAATCTATAAAGCTTAATTCCATCTTCTGCATGGTTCCCACTGCACTCTGTCTTCTAAGGAATATCTTGCCTGCACATAACCTGTGTTACTTTTTGGCATTCTAAAAAAAAGAGAATAATTGAATTCTACATCATCTGCTGTGCCTGTAGCACTGAAGGGCAGCCCTTCTTCCCACTCACTTTTATCTACTTCATTTTGGAACATAGACAATCTCACAAAAAATAGATAATTATTTTTTTAAAGGAACAAAGAATATGAATATATATTTGACTTTAATCACAAGCAAACATTGAGTGAACAAAGGAAGTAAAAAGATGGAATTTTCAGATTGTAGGGTGCATAAAGCTTTGGGTAAACGACTAGATAATGTTGATCTACTCTTAGAGGCAACTCTGCTCTTAAATTCAGAGTTCCATAAAACACAGCTTTATTGAACTTATATGGGGGTATATGAATGCTACAGATAAACGATTAGATTTTAAACACAATTTAAAAAAAGCTGCACAAATGTCTAGTTAATTTTTTTAAATCATTTCAGATCTAAATAAATGTCTCTCTGTCTCAATTCTTCCTGGACCCCTTCTTATAGATCCCTGAAGATTGTAATTAGTTATTTTTAAAGCTGTTGGAGAGAGAACAGAAAGTTCTAAAGTCTACAAAGATTAAAAAAATTACTCTGTAACAGAAAGGGGGCAGTTCAAAGGAGGCTATCTCCCTATGTGTGTGTTCACAAGCCATGCCTCAATCATCTTGATGACATATTAAAACTAAAATGCATTTGCCTGACAATGAATGCAGGGTGGCCTTGCCTGTTCTTTTATAATAGTGCAGACTCCTGCTTAGAGTATGTGTCAAAATCCTCTTCATGCTCTGTGGAATTGTTTATTAAATTCCTCTTCAAAGCCAAATTATTTCCTTCTAACTTAATCACAATATGAGTGATTCATACAGACTTTTTGGCAAAATAATTTTAGTTCCTCAGAGGAGCAATAGTGCAGATCCATAGAAAAGCTTCTTGACTGGGCTGCTGCCATGAAGCTCTTTGTTCCAAGACTACTTGTGCTTCTTATTGGCCTCCTGATGCCAACACTGAGTTCAGCTTTTTTCCTTTGGGATTGCCTCTTTCTGTTTCTATGCTTTTTCGTGGTATCTGAAGCAGAACATCCAGATTCAGCCATATTTTCTTTCCATACAGCATTAAACTTGTGAACTCTTAAGCTTCCTCCTTCTGTTATATATTCAAGATGGACTGTTTAATATTTATTTGTTATGTATAAGTAGGGGTATGGGTCTATACATATGTTGCATATAGTATGTTTGGTGTGTGTCATGTATGTGTTCACTTTGAGAGCGGGCAACTAAATTTCATTTTTGATGTGTGGCATTGTGCCCACAGTAAAAAAAGTGACAATAAAGGTTATCTTATCCATATTTCCTGTAGCAGTAGTAAATGCTCAGCTCCATTTAGTCACCCCAACTCTACCCCAAATTAAGGCATTACAGGGTCGTAAAAGAGGGCTTTCTCCAGCATGATGAATGTAGCATCCACTGGTGGGTAATCTCAGCCTTCCTGTTCAGATGAGACTAAGTCAGAACTTTAGCCACGCCTCCCTTGGGCGGTGCCTTCCCCAGTTTTTGACTTAGTCTCGGCTCAGTGGGATGCAACTTTATTTGGCTCCTCAGTTAGGCTAGTTAAAAAGAGATATATTAGATTTGTGGTAGTAGCATACAATTTAGGATCAGATATTGGTTTGTTTCTATTTGTTTTCTATTTGTTAGCCAAAGCTTTTTGAGTTTAAAGGAGCTCAAAGGCAGCTTAACTGCCTCTTAGCTCCTAAAGGGCTCTTTCAGGCTCTCTCAGGACCGTTTCTCAGCCACGCCAGATTGTCGGGGATTTCAGCAAAGATCAACTGTTTAGCGTTGAAATTGGCGCTTTTATTTGGTGCTCAGGGCTTCCCGGGAGCGCAGCTCGGCTGGGTGGCTTCGTTTTTGTCGATCTCGTGGTCACGAGGTCCCTGCAGGTGCACGAGGCTCCGAGGCTGCGCTACAAATCGCAAGTGGTTTTTTTGCCTTATATTTGAAGGGGAAGGTAGTCCTTGCCAATTTAAGCTCCCTCTGTTCCTTTTTCAGGCTGAACGGCCCAAATAGATCGCTGGAGCGTTCATTAGGGCGCCGCCATTTTGAGTGACCATGAGGCCTCGGGTCGCCATTTTGAAGCACAACAACAGGCGTGGTCGCCATTTTGAAGGCCCTCACATGCCATAGCGGTGTGATTGGGTCTGATTCCACAGGAAATTTAGCCTGCTGTGCCAGGTTTCCAGGGGGGATTTCCCAAGCTCTCCTTGCATATTTCTCTCTTGTTCAGAGAAAATAGCTGAGGAAGGGGGTGCGGCTGCCATTTTGGATTTCACTATTGATCACACATATTCTTCACCCAGTCTATTCCTTTGTACTATCCTCTGAGGGGGTTTTATTAGAATCCACCTGTTCTTATTAGTCCGCGGCGCTGTGCCTGCAGGGCCTTGACAGGCAGTTCTAGGGAATTGTCTGGCTGTTTGCCTTTGCGGTTCATCACAGCACGGGAACCTCCCTCTCTGATAACCAGATCTGCATGTTATTTTTCCCCCATTCCTGGACATCTCCTATCCGGAATATCCAGTGTGCGATGGCAGACAGTGCAACTCCTCAGACATCGCAGGGCTCTGATGTTCCCCCCAGACAAAAAAAGCGCAGATCTTCTGATTTGGACCCGGGGGAAAGAAAAAGGCCAAGACAAAGAACATAGAGCCCTCCAAAGCAGCTGTGCGAGAGGCCTCGAGGAGACATCTGGTGCTGGAGAAGAAGTTCTCCAGAGCTCAAAGGCTCAGGTCCAGTGAGGCTGACTTGGTTCCCCCCGTTTCACTGGACCCATCCCCATTTGGGCCTCATTTAGCGCTTTCTCATAATGCCCCTAGGGCGTGGTCTCCTCGGGGAAACTGAACAGGTTGGTCCCTCCTCCTCCTCCTTCAATCATACAACAGATACCTGAAGCAGCATACCCTTCCACTTCAGCTGGAATTCGTTATTCAGACCAAAGGAGGCACGGTCAGAGCAGTTCCAGGCGTTCATGCATCATGCCTTTGGACAGTTCATGGTCTCA